TTCTGAACAAAATTTTTGTGTAATATTAAAAGATAATGAAAGGATTTTGTTTGCCTCTTTGGGTAAATGGCAGGAAAAAGGGAAGAGTGGAGAGGAAAGAAACAGATTCAGGTGGCCTTATGCTCTTTTTATTGGGTCTTGTTTAGAAAGATAATTCTCTCCTACATCAATGAGTGCAGGTTTTTGTCTTTTTAAAATTGTTTTGAGTTACCACTTTGACTAGATAAATAACCTGTGATCCTATTTTATGATACCCAGTGTTTTAAATCTTTGATATTTGACAAACTTCCCAAAATTAAATTATAAGTTATGAGTATGTCTTTTTCTGACCTAATTAATTGCTTAGCTATTAGGTTTACTAAAGTCTAAAAATGGCATATTTATTTTATTTAGTACAAAAATCATACAGCAAGCACTGCCAAATATTAAATTGTGTTTGGTTTTCTTTGGACTCTATTTGTATAAATAAGTTATTGGTATATGTTCCAAAATAATGAGGAACTCCTAAAATTCTGATATGACTTACTGTTATTCATAATTAAACTTGTTATGTAAAATTGTTGTATGTCACAGAATTAACAAAATTCCTAGTGAATTGTGATTTTAATAGTGGCTTTCTTATGTTTTTTATCCACAGATAATTATTTTGTTTTGATCCTTTTCAAAAGGCAGTTTAGAATCAGATAGAGGACTCTGACAGGTACTCTTGAATGCAGGCCCCTGATAACTTTAGAAATTGTGCTATTGGAATAGAAGAAAAAAACACAAACTTCTAGGACTCTCACAGAGAGCTGAGATGTTAAACATTGCTAATTCATTTGTTTTTCAGAGTCAATAAACCTTTTTATTTTGAGTATTTACAACTTTTAGCAATTGAGTAAAGTATGCTCCTGGGAGTAAACTTTGGAGCATATTGCTTTCCCTCTAACTAATTTCTCCAGAATTTAAAAACTATTTGTGAGTATTCTCAACTTATGGCAGTATACTTATTTACATAAGTGCAATAAGAATATGTTTTTTCTTATAACAGGACCTAACTGGATAAACTGGTCATTTTACCAAGGCTTTAACTGGAATGGAATACTTTCTTTGAGGAATAGAAGTTGACTTATAGATCCAATAAAAGCCCCTGGGAAAAGCTGGCCTTATATCTTGTCTGTGCGTTCTCTGTACAGTGTTCCTGACCTGTGATAAGAATGTCCCTTTCTTCTTGGCACATTTTATCTTGGGACCTTGAGAGGAGGAAAAATTACCCAACTCCTACAGGTATGTGATGGCACAAAATCACAGGTCAGGAACACTGTACAGAAAACCTGTGGGACTTCAAGGCTTTAAAATTAGAATATAATGTTCCTTATAGAATAAAGTTTCAACATAGCCAATTTTATAAAGGAATCTATATGACAAATAATTATTCCTTTTGCTACTAACTCTGGGAAGAACTTCGTTTATATTACAGAGATTGAAAAAAGAAACAATAAAATCCCTTCTCTAAAACAAGCCCCTTCTTGCCTGGGGACTAGACTGCCTTTGCAGAACTAACAAATTAGCCAGAATATTAGAAATTATGATTTAGGAGCCATGTAGTTGAAGGCTGCAAGATTCTGACCCTACCCAAATTGCTCCTGAAGATAACATCACTATTGTAAAACCTAAGATCAGTACTTGAGACATTTTGTAGACATGCAAGAAGAAATCAGAGAAAATAAAATGATAAATATGTCAAGATGTACAAAGACTGACCCTTTAAATCTTAATGTCTTGGGATGAGCATAAATTAAAGTACATAAGAATAACATATATACTATATATCTATCTTATATATGCATATATACGCATATTAAATATATATAGCACACATATACACTAATGTTATCACAATGGTCTTTGCAGTATATTAAAAATTTGGATACTATAACAGTTATTCAACAAGAAGAATGCATTAATCAATCAATTAACATAAAAAATTTAAAAATTTCACTTTAGTTCTAACTAAATCTTCACTGAACTAAAAGGAACTAGTATGGCTTAAAAATAGTTTTAGGGTCTTTTTATACTCAAACCATTATAAAGCCATCTCAAAATGTTACATGAATACTTGAAGTTGTGGTCATTGCTTTGGGGAAATTCTGAGGAGCATCTTGCCAGGTGTTCTGGAAATAAATGATGAGTTCAATAAAAAACGAACACATTCTTAAAAAAAGTCATTAAGATAAATATATGAAGTTTTCATTTGTAATCTCCTTTCATTTCTTTCTCCCATTTTGTGAGAAATTTTCTATCATTAATATTTAAATAAATTTATGAGAATGCCTATGGGGTACAATTCTGGAAAAAGCTGGATCATTTTATCCATTGGGGATTTTAGATAGTGAATTTACACATTAAATGGAAGGAAGTCTTTTTGGTAAATTTGATCCTAGGTCTTTACTACAGAACTAATAAATTTCCTCCACTTTCATATAAATGATAGCATGTTCCATACACATTCTTCATGGTTCTTTTTTTTCATACAAAAATATGTCTTGAAGAAGGTTCCACATTAGTAAACAAATAATTTTTTCTTCTTTTTTCAAGACATCAGACTATTCATTTTCCTGCAAGTAGAACTGTAGAACTATTTATTTAATGACTCCCTTATCAAGAGATATTTAAGTTGCTTCCAATATTTTGCCATCATAAACAATGTTGCCATACATATGTATGTAATCTTATATATGTGCCATTTTATCTATTTGGGAGTATAGCTATCTGTAGGATACATTTCTAGAAGTTTGCTGCTAGCTCAAAGTTCTGTACTTTTGCCAATACAATGTCTACTTAACATTTTTGATTGTTGAAAATCTGGGTGAGTTTTAACAGCAATCCTGTCATTATCAATTAATTTGAGCATCTTTTTATATATTTAATAGCCATTAGTGATTATTTTCTTTGGGAGATATTTGATTTTTTTAATAGAACCTACTTTTTACAGAAATTTTAGATTTATAGAAAAACTGCATAGAAAGTATGAAGAAGTCCCATATACTCCCCGCCTCACACACAGTTTCCCTTATCATTAATAGTTTGTATTATTTTGTATTAGTGTGGTAACTTTGTTACAATTGATGAACCAATATGAATGCATTATTATTAAGTTCATATTTTAGATTAGTTTGCTTTTTATGTGGTTTGTATGTTGTATGTGCATGGATCTACAGGTTTGACAAATACATAACATCATGTACACCATTATAAAATCATATAAAATCATTTCACCACCCTTAAAATGCCCTGTCCTCCACCTACTCATCCCTGTCTTCTCCCCACTGAGCTCCAAGCAACCACTGATCTTTCGTTGTCTTCACAGTTTGGCCTTTTACAAAAGGTCATATAGTTAGAAGCTTCTTTAATTTTTGTTAATTTTTCTTTTCTTTTTTTTGAGACAGAGTCTCGCTCTGTCAGCCAGGCTGGAGAGGAGTGGCATGATCTTGGCGTACTGCAACCTCTGCCCCCTGGGTTCAAGGGATTCTTGTGCTTTAGCCTCCCAAGTAGTTGAAATTACAGATATGCACCACCGTGCCTGGCTAATTTTTGTATTTTTAGTGGAGACAGCGTTTTGCCATGTTGTACAGGCTGGTCTTGAAATCCTGGCCTCATGGATCCTCCCACCTCGGCCTCCCAAAGTGCCTGGATTACAGGCGTGGGCCACCACACCAGGCCCAGAAACTTCTTTAGACTGCCTTCTTTCACTTAGCTACACGCCTTTAGTTTCTTTCTCGTCTTTTTGTAGGTTGACAGGTCACTTCTTTTTATTGTTGAATAATTTTCTATTGTGTGAATGTACCCCAGTTTGGCTCTCCATTCACCTATTGAAAGACATCTTGTTGGCTTCCATTTTTTCATATTCAAGTGCAGGTTTTTGTGGGGACATGCTTTCATCTAACTTAGGTAAATACTTAGGTGCATGATTACTTAACCATATCATAAGCCCATGTTTTCCTTTGTAAGAAATTCCAGACTGTCTTCTACCATGGCTCTATTATTTTTTACATTTTCACCAGCAATGAAAGAAAAATGAAAGGAAATTCTTGTTGTTTTGCATCTTTGCCAGCATTGGATGCTGTTTTTGCTGATTTTTAAGAGTTCCTTATGTAGTTAGGATATTTGCCTGTGTCTGTGTCACAAGTTGCAAATTATTCTCCTAATTTATATTTTCACTTTGAAATTTGCTTTTAAAAGTTTAATGATGCAGATCTTATAAATATTTTGTCTTTTTTTTCTATTGTAGTTCTGGGCATTTGGGTCATACTTAGTTTCTGCTTCATAGATAATTGAAAGAAATTATACTATGAGTTTTAATACATATAGTTTCACATTTCAAAGTGTATAATTTGTCAATATATGAATTTGAAATTAGTTTTTTTAAAGACGTAAAGTATAATTGTAGCGTTTTGTTTTTCCAGATGCCCATGCAGTTATCTTCGTGTCACTTATGGAATATCTCTCCCTGTGAATAGAGTAATATAGAAACATATTTTCCTTTATTTCTTAATTGACATATGTCCAGAGCCCAAGCTAGTCATTCTGTGTCTTTCTAGAGAAGTCAGAGGCAATTGAATACACACAAACACACATGCACACACACACACACACATATATATATTTACATGTGCATATTTATCCTTATATATACTAACATGAAGAGAGTTTTGGAAACAAAAAACATTCACATACGAATCCTAGTCATTTTCTATTATCTCTAATTTTTGACAAGTTGGTTATTATCCTTGAATCATAGTTTCTTCACATATAATAGAATAGAAGAAAATATCCATGTCCTATAGTTTCTATGAGTACTAAAATGAGATACCAGATTGCTTGATACCATAGTGCCTGCAAAGTAAGTTTTCATTAAATGGTGGCTATCATTATTAATATTATTATATAATGAAAATAATATTCTTTAGGAATTAATATAGTCAAAGAGAAATTAATGAAATATATTTATGACAACTTACGAAAATAATGTGGAATTATATATCCTACATGACCCACGTGTGCCACAGTTGTTGGTGGACCACTTCATACATGTTGTATCTGTCTCTTATACACATCTAGATGTGTATAAGAGACAGCGCTTACCCTTCCTCCTGTAATAGGAGAAGAGAAGATGTCAGTCCAGGGAACATATTTTAAATGTAACTGTATGATATTCCACATTGATACATTTTGATTAAATAAACGTTTAAAAATTTGGAGGATTTATTTATTATTCTGTTCTGCATCTACCCAATAATAAAGGTTATTTGAAATCTCAAAGACCCGAATCATGTAGTAATGTCATTGATGCCTTCTACCCACTTGTACCCTCCCTACATACATGCCTGTACACTCTGTTCTTATGGTAGCAATTAACTTAAGCCTGAATGGTAAAAAGGAGAATGTTGTTAGTAAAACTGGGAAGTTATGTTGGTTAATACGGGACTTTTCTTAGGCAAAGAAACCTGAAATGGAGTAGAATTACAATTTTATGGGGAAAGGAAAAAGATCTTGGCTCAACTGCTGTAAAGGCAGACTTTTTTTTTTTTTTTTTTAACACTATTTTAAGAGAATTTAAAAGTGAGTGCTTCATCAGAACCCCCTCCCCAGATAAGTATAGGCTGAGCTTCAGGGAGTGCTTAGCTTTGGGCAGGCTCTACTTTTCTTCTGGGCTCAGATGTCTAATTCCCACTTATTGATGTCATTAGAGGTCATAGTCCAGTGATTTTCTACTAATTGATTTTGTGCATTTGTAAATACCTCCTGAAGCAGCTTAGGCTAAGTTAGGGGATTGTGGTACTAAATTTTGTTTGTGTTAGTGTTCTGATCACAATGATGCATAAATTTTCAGTGGTCTTTTTTTTTGGTTAATTTTTATTTGGAGCTCATGATTTTGCAGAATGCACGGACAGATATGCTGTTTATATAATAAACTGTTTATATAATAAGTGTCCATCTGCTTCCACTGCTGTTTTAATGAACTCTGAGATTGACTCCTGGTTCTAGGCAAAGGTAATTTGATAAAGAATTTTAGGGACATGCCAGTAGAGAACTATCCTTCAGACGGTGCAACTGAAGTATTCATAACTTTACTTTGTTCTTTTTTTGTATTGTGGTGAATAATTTTCAGAGTTTATTTTGTCATGGAAAAAATGACAGTGATTGATGTATCACAATTTTACTTATTCCATTTAGTTTTCATCAGTCTTAATTTTTTGAGAGTGAGAAATCTTAAAATGACAAGGGACTGAGGCTAATGTATCTGAAAAAATCTGGTACTGAGGAAATGGATGAGAAATTTTCAGGTTTCAAAAATCACAGCCACTCTTTGAAAAATGAAAAATATATGCTAACAATTTATTTTCCCCACATAATGCCACTGATTTGAACAAATGTAATGGATTGTTTCAAGTAACAAATTTGGTCCTAATCACTACAATTTTAAAACTCATAACCTATTTTTTTTTTTTTTTTTTTTTTTTTCTGTCGCCCAGGCTGGAGTGCAGTGGCCGGATCTCAGCTCACTGCAAGCTCCGCCTCCTGGATTTACGCCATTCTCCTGCCTCAGCCTCCCAAGTAGCTGGGACTACAGGCGCCCGCCACCTCGCCCGGCTAGTTTTTTTGTATTTAATAGAGACGGGGTTTCACCATGTTTGTCAGGATGGTCTCGATCTCCTGACCTCGTGATCCGCCCGTCTCGGCCTCCCAAAGTGCTGGGATTACAGGCTTGAGTCACCGCACCCGGCCTCATAACCTATTTTCTAAATGACTTTTTCACTATATAGACCTTCCACAATTTACACGTTTATTGCATTCAAGACAATTGTTTGTGAAGTGGAATTTTTGTACTAAATGCGTATTTTTTCCATTGGTGCATTAGGTTCCATCGTGCCACAGATTGGATACATCGAAATAGGATACCCAGAATTAGTATGGTGAAACTCATTTTTTTTCCTATTTTCTATTGCTAAAAAAAATTTTTACTGCATTCTCTTCGTCTCATTTCTACATATCAGAAGGAGTACTAACAACCCAGGTGTTACTTTAAGCTTTTGTCACCCATGTTCTAGCAGTGAGGCATCCCCATTGAATCTGAAGGTAGAAAACTGCCAGGATGTACAGAGTCTGGGAGATTAGAGACACACGAAAGGGAATGGTGGGAAGAAAACCAATGGAATACTATAGCATCTCATCTCCTCTGTTTTATTTCCTGTATATTTCTTCTTTTTAACTTGGAGGATTTGTGACTTTATCATCAAATACGCTTCTTAGACAATTTCTTCATTGTAATTTGGCCATAGCCTGGCCAGATTCCCATGCTTCCCAAGCTAGCTTTAGGCCTTGCCTAAATCATGCCTCAGTTTAGAAGTTAGGCCCTTCACTCTGCCTACTGGGAGGAAATATTCTTATTTTTCTAAAAAAAGAAAAATTTGGAGGACCATCTACCTTTGTGTTTGAAAGAGTGTAATATAAATACAATAATTCCTTAGTCTTAACAGATTAACTTTACGTATAATTAACAATCAAATTCTCTTTTAGGTCACTCAATTTTACTCTATCTCTTATTGTTTTTATTTATCACAAAATAGAAACGATACTAATTTTATTTACTATCACAATTAAAGATTCATTACATTCAGTCTTCAAGCCTTGACATTTATATTTATAACTTAAATTTAATATATGTGTGTGTGTATATATATACATTTTTCATCATACCTAGTGCTCGTATAACCATTGAGTGGAAACCCAGTGCAAGTGATTTCAATTCAGGTTGAACAATTCTGAAACAAGATAAAGGCAAAGAAACATTAAATATCATTAAAATATCAAAATGAAACAACATTAAAGCCTTCTCCTGTGTTGTTTTTCTTCATGATAGAATTAAGTTCTCAGTTGAATGGCCCCATTGTATAAAGTTATATTTCAATTGTTTTAAAAGGCAAACACTTCAGCAATAATAACAATTATTACCTTATTTATTCAATGCATCATGATTTCAAGATGGCTTTTCTATCTCTTCATTCAGGTCACTCAAAGGACTTTCAACGCATAATATCTGAACTAGTATCTCTTACCTATTTTCTCATTTTTTTCTATTTTCTTAATTCCGATTTATTTATCTTTCTAGTGCTTCACACTTACTCTGTATATTTACTCACTTATTTGCTTATTGTTTTTTCTGCTACATACATTCATTCCTTCATTCCCCACCCACACTAAAAACTAATAAAATTCTATCACTTTCGTTCACAGTTGCATCCTCTGTGCATACAACTCTGCCTGACACACAAAATGAATACATATTGAATAAATGGATGTCCTTCTGCCCACTTAATCAAGTTTAAAAAATAGCTTCACAGTCTAACCATTAGAAAATTATTAACAAACTGAAATTTATATTTTTGTTCTGTAGTCATATTCACAAAATGCTTCTTTCAATAAAATCAAAGGCTAGCGAGAGTTAAATATTTTTGACAAGTTGTAATGCTGATTTAATCAGTTTCTGAAATAGATATGATATTGTTATCATCAATGATGGAACACTGTTTTTTAAAACTCATGAGTTTAAAATAAAAAGCTAAAACCTGTTGATATGCAAACTATTGTTGAATTTTAAGGTATTTTTAGTATGTTAATGAGTTTAATTTGGCAAATATGAAAGACTTCTTTTGAGTAGACAACATTTTATATTGAGATGGAGCTATATCTGTGGAATATTTAGTATAAATAATTTGATAAGATTTGCAGTCACAGTCAAAATTAAACAACTGTAAATTCAAATTACAAGTTGATATTAATGTTAACAAATGTTAAAATGCTTTTGCTTTTTTCATCTCTACTATGTCATGCTGTTTGCTGACAGTGAACTTGTGATCAACTGTGTAGGTTTTAAAAGTACAGTTGAATGTTAACCCAGGTCACTATACTTACACACATATATTTTTAAGATCTAAGACCAATTATTTACATGTTTTATCAGTTTTAGGTGATTGAATCAAGTTGGCCAGTAGGACATGCATTAACCTGTACCCTGCCTAACTCTCCAATCTTATCATGTGTCACAACCTCTCATTCAGTATGTTTCAATCTGCCAGCTTCTTTTCATTTCTCAAACACATCAGCTCTTTCCTGTGTTAAGGCGTCAGCACCCAGACCTTCTCCCGGAAACCCTTTGATTTAGCTTTTTCTTTAGACCTTTAGAATAAATGTTACTTATTTTGAGATGTACTCTGATTCCTCTTCTTCACAGCTGCCCCCCACCCAATCCTAAATTAACTTTCCCTTTTGAATCTTTCTTTTTAGGGAAATCTTTTTCCTGATGAGCACTCAGAACAATTTATAAATATGTTTTGATTTTAAGATTATTTATCTCACACCAGTCTTTCCTGTAATTTTGAAAGTTGTACGACAACAAGTATCTTATTGGTTTCATTTACCATGTAATATTCATCAAGCATTGTATCTTTTCTAATGAGCCAAGAAAGGAATGAATGCTTCTGTGGATTTTCTTATTTTTCTACAAGGATATTATAAAAGTCATGATGTGCATGGATTAAAAACTTTGGAATGTTATTATCAAATGGAGCATATTTTCTATCTAGTTTTCAAATGCTTTATTTTAGTGAAATCAATAGATTTACCCTGACAGACCCATTAGGATGCAAGTCAACTCAAAATTCAAAAGGTTCTTTTAGAATCCTAGGGAGATCCTTTTACAACTGAGGCAATTGCCGGTCTATGTCATCAGCTTCTTAGTAAGAGAAGAAAGTATGGAATCTGGACTTTTAATGGAAAAATTAGAGGCAAAATTATTAATTATGGCCTTGAGAGTTCATAGTAATTTTAATAAAATGAATTCTCAGAAAATTAAAATTTGACAAAATATGAATTTGAATCCCAGTATATTATGTAAAAATATGCATATCTTTAGGTCATTAGGTGTGTTTATAGTCTCATGCATATGAAAATATTTCTAAAAGTCATACTTACTTAACCATCAGCATGAAATATGAGGTGCCTCCAAGTGCAGAGAAAAATAAATTCAAGACTTGTATTGCAACAAAAAAGTAAAATTTCGTTATACAAGCATCACTTCTTGGGCATTCACCCAAATGGGCTGAGTAATTTCTGTTCTGGAGACCAGTTACTTCCAAACAACTACAGTTATGAAACACCTGAAATGTTGTGTATAAAATATGACATAAGAAACCTGGAAGACACAACAGTGCTGCAAATACATTGCATTATATCCAGTGAAGTCTCACTTGTTCAAACTAATATATTTACAGTTTACAAAGATTCTAAAAATACAGTTGCTTAACAGATAAAATGTAAAATAGTTTTTTGGATTTCTTTCTATATAAGAAAATGTAATTCATGATTGACATTTAGTTCATTCTTAATTTTAAAATTAAGAAACAAGGAAGTTAGTGTTTAGAACTCTGTATATAATTTTCTTATCTCTGTAGATTCTCTTTAATAATTGTTTTCCATTCCATTTTACTCTCTGCAGAACAGAGATGGTCTTTTGGACAATTTCTTAGTTTCAGAGACATGCCCTGAAAAGGAATTATCCAAAGAATTCAGATAATATAGCAGTTTGGGGGGAATCAAAATTTAACTGGAGTCACCCATGAAAATGGCACTGAGTTCAGGAAAAATAGAGGCAGGTAGAGATGCTAAAATTTTAATTTAGCAGGCATATACAAAATCCAAGGACATAATGACAGATGATATTATTACCAGAGACATTAAACACAACAGAATGCCCCACTAGTGTTTAGAGCACAGAAGTGGAAAATGTAGAAACAAGTGATTTCAGATTTTTAATCAGTTGGACAGTTTATGTAGATAGGTGGCTTTAATAAATTCTGTTCTAAATCTAGGCAAAAGTTCAAGGGAAGCTCACCTTGAATCTATTAATACTAAAGACCAATTATTGAAGGAAGAATTGTAGAAGAATTTAAATCTATACAAGTACAGTTCTGCCAAACTTACAGTTCTTACTATTTTTTTTCACTAGGAATAATATAGAAGAATTTTTTATGGAACAAGTGTAGTGGTCAATAAAACTAAGCTTTGGTACAAAGAACACTGTTTTAAGATGTGATGGTTCATTATCTAGGATTTAGTAAAAAAAAAAAAATAAATAATAAAAACTTTGCAGTAGCCCCCAAATGGCATAGTCATTGCCAGTATAATGTAGATTATGTCTTGTGGTAGACAGAGTTCTTTTCAGGGTTCTAATATTACATCACTTTCAGGCCTTCACTAGTGTGCAAAGAGGGACCATGTATTAATTGGGTCATTCTTATTCTCCTGGAAACACACAACCATCCAAGACTGAATGAAGAAGTAATTGAAACCCTGAACACCAATATGGAGGTTCAAATTTGAATCAGTACTGAAAAAACCTGCCTATCAATAAAAGCCCTGGACCAAATGCGTTCATAGCCAAATTCTACTGGAAATACAAAAAAGAGCGAGTACCCACTGCACTGAAATTATTCTGAAAAATTGAGGAAGAACGATTCTTTCTTAACTCATTTTTTTGAAGCCAGAATCATCCTGGTACCAAAATCTAGCAAGACACAACAACAATAATAAACCAACAGGCCAATATCCCTGCTGAACATAGATGCAAAATTCCTCAACAAAACACTAGCAAACTGAATCCAGCAGCACATCAAAAAGTTAATTCATCATGACCAAGTAGGTTTTATTTTTGAGATGTAAGCATACACAAATCAATAAATGATTCACTACATACATTGAATTTAGAATAAACAGTATATGAGCATTTCAACAAATGTAGAAAGAGCTTTCAGTAAAATCCACCATCCCTTTATGATAAAGTTATTTAACAGACTGGGCATTGAAGGAGCATAGCTCAAAATAATAAGAGCCATTATGATAAAACCACAGCCAACATCATATAAAATGGGCAAAAGCTGGAAGCATTCTTCTTAAGAACAGGAACAAAGCATGAATGCCCATTCTCACCACTCTTATTCAACATAGTACTGGAAATCCTAGACAGATCAATCAGGAAAGAGAGAGAAGTAAAGCATGAAAAATAGGAAATGAACTCATATTATCTCTCTGCACTGTGATATGATTCTATATCTCAAAAACCTTAAAGACTCTGCCAAAAGTCTCCTAGAACTGATAACATAGTTTAACAAAGTTTCAGAATACAAAAACAATGGACAAAACTTAGTAGCATTTCTATACACCAATAACAGTTAAACTGATACCCAAATCAAGAATGCAATTCCATTTAGAATAACCACAATAAATTAAATACCTAGGAATACATTTAAACCAAGGAAGTGAAAGATCTCTACTAGGATAAATACAAACCCCAATGAAAGAAATTATAGGCGACACCAACAAGTGGAAAAATACTCTATTCTCATGGATTGGTAGAAAAATTACCACTAAACTGTCTATGCTGCCCAAAGCAATCCACAGGTTCAATGGTATTCTTATCAAACAACCAGCATCGTTTTTCATTCTAATTCATTTTTCATTGAATGAGAATAAAACTATTGTAAAATTCAATACGAAAAAAGAGACTGAGTAGTCAAAGCAATTCTAAGCATAAGGAACAAAGTGAGAGTCATTCCATTACCTGATATCAAACTATACTAAAAGGCCATAGTAACCAAAAGCATAGTACTGGTCAAAAAACAGGCACATAGACTAAAGGAACAGAATAGAGAACCCAGAAACAAAGTTGCAGAACCTAAAACCTGTCGCACACCTGATCTTCAATGAAGTTAGCAAAAAAAAAAAAAAAAAAAAAAAAAAAAAAATGCAATGGGGAAAGTACTCATTATTCATTAAATGGTGCTGGAATAACTGGCTAACTGTATGCAGAAAAACGAAACTGGACCCCTTCTTTTCATAAAAAAAAATTTACTCAAGATGTACTACAAACTAAAATGTAAAACTTAAAACTATGAAAGCCATTGAAGAAAACCTAGAAAATATTCTGGATATCGGCCTTGCAAAACATTTGTGACTAAGTTCTCAAAAGCAATTGCAACACACACAAAATTGATAAGTGGGATATAATTAAACTAATGAGCTTCTGCACAACAAAAGAAATAATCAACAGAGTGAACAGACAACCTATGGAACAGGAGAAAACCTTTGCAAATCATGCATCTAACACAGGACTAATATCCAGAATCTATAAGAAACTTGAACAATTCAACAAGCAAAAAACAATAAAAAATTAAAAAGTAGACAAAGGACATGAACAGACACTTCTCAAAGGAAGACACACAAGCAGCTAACAAACACATGAAACTGTTTAACATCACTAATCATCAGAAAAATGCAAATCAAAATCCCAAGGAGATACCATCTCACACCAGTCAGAATGGCTGTTATTAAAACGTTAAAAAAATATTCTGGCAAGGCTGCAGAAAAAAAGAGAACGCTTATCCTATGTTGGTAGGAATGTAAATTAGTTCAGTCACTGTGTAAAGTAGTTTTGAGAGTTCTCAAAGAACTTAAACAGAACTACCATTCAACTCAGCAATCCCACTACTGGGTATACACCCAAAGGAAAATAAATTCTTCTACCAAAAACACATCTACTTATATACTTATATGATCATCACAGCATTATTTACAATAGCAAAGACATGGTCTCAACCTGGGTGCCCATCAACAGTGAATTGAATAAAGCAGTGTGGTACATACAGACAATAGAATACTACATGGCCACAAAAACGAATGAAATAATGTCCCTTGCAGCAGCCTGGATGCAGCTGGAGGTCATTAACTTAAGTGAATTGACATAGGAACAGAAAACCAGATGCCACATATTCTCACTTATAAGTGGAAGTTAATCACTGGGTACGCACGAATATAAAGACAGGAAAAGTACATATTACAGACCACTAGACTGGACAGAGAAAAAGAGGAGCAAGTACTAAAAAACTACTTATTGGGTATTATGCCCCCTACCTGGGGGATGGGAACGATTGTACCCTAAACCTCAGCTTATCACAAGATACCCATGTAATACATCTTCATTTGGACCCCCTTTACCTAGAACAAGAGTTGAATTATTTTTAAAAAAATAGCAAAGTAAAAATAAATAGCAAAGGAAAAGGAAACAACTGAACAACAGAACCATTATTGCCATGACTGAGATGTGAGTTTTAAGTAGAGTCTTTGGGCCATATTTGTGTAAGTTTATTAAAGTTGCACTTAAATATTTTCAAAAAGTCCAGGATGCTTTATTCTTTAAAGTTCTACATGCCCTTACATATTACAGTTGATAGATCTGTGGGCAAAAGTAGATGGAGAATGTTTAAAAATCAAACACAGAAGGATGTGGCCGAGAGCAATAATTGTAGCTGACTGTTTCACTAATGTTGGTAATAGTAAAATTTCCTAGGAAAACATTACATGACTTTGTGAGATGTTGAGTGGAAAACACCATAACCCATTCCCGATGATAGGGAACTACCTAGGAGATTAGAGAAAAACCATAGTTCACATGGAAAGAAAGGTTTTGTGAGAAGAAAGAAATGACATTTCTGTGGGATATATTGGCAATAGGTGAGCAGGATACTACATTATCTTGGGTAGAAGTGCCAGTTTTGGAAAAATCAAAATAGAAAATCAAGAATAGGGCAGTTAAGTGAGCATGAAGCCTTGATTAATTTCTTAGAAATTAAAAAGGGTAGTGATCCCAGAGCTAAACAGATCAGAATCTGAATATAACATTGCATATTGATTTTTGTCTTAGCAAGATAGGAAGTGCTAACCATGGGTTAACTCAGGACATTTTCCTGAATTCTGAGGGATAAAGTAATGAAAATTATAGGCTTCAGTCAAATTAGGTGCTTTTTAGATATTCTAAAGGTATTCAAATTCTAAAAGATCATAGTCTTATAATCTCAAAGGAAAAAAGTGGAGTGATCTCCAATTAGAATTCAAGTAACAGAAAAACCTGATTTTGCCCTAAACAGACTTTTATATAAAACTTTGTTTATACAACATCACACCCATCACAATAACAGATAATATTGGAAACTTTCTCTTTTATCTTTTAAATGGCGTCCTTACAGTTTACAGTTACAGAAAGATTTGGTAAAAAATTGTTCAATCTGATCCTTGCTTTTGAATAAGGAGAGGAAAGTAAAAACTAATACTCACTATAGACTTTTTATTGCCACTTGAAGATTTGCAACCCGCTAGACAAGGTGAGATGTAAGTTATTCCATTGTTTCCACAGACTGGTTCCCATTGACTTTCATCACAATTGCAGTCTGAGTTGCAATAAGAAAATGGTACATTTCTATGAGATGTCACTGGATTATTTCTGGAAATACATGATAGACATATATCAAAAAGAGAGAGTGAGAGAAGAAAAAGACAAAGAAGGGGAGGAGAAGGAAGAAGTGGAAGCAGAGAAAGAGGGAAAAGAAAAAGAGAAGATAAAGAATTTTTCTTTATATGAAGAAATTTGCTTTGATGATGTGAAATGGCAAAGTTTGTTTTAGTGCTTATTTATTTTATGCTCTCCATCTTTGCTAAGACATGACTTGTGACTTAGAAAAAGCAAAATGTAAAAATAAACCAAAGATATTAAGTAAGGCTTAGACAAGAAGTTGTTATAATTCTATCAAGAAATTTCACATTAGATAAGTTACGTCTTTTTTCTGAGACTGAGTTTCTATTCAGTAAGGTGATGACATTAGACTGACATTCCTCTCAGCTCACTGTAAAGTCTTGTGAGTCTTAATGCTATTTAACTAGGTTGAATTTAAAAATCTCTATTGTAATGTGTAAGAAAAAGATCAGACATGCTTAAAGCAGAGCCTCTACAAAATGAAAAATCAAGAATAATAGAAAAAGGCTAGAAAAACTGGGTATATTTTTATAATAAAACTATAGTACACTTTATACTGATTTCCTTTATAAAATGGTTATAAATTATAAAATATGATTATGCCATAGCTAAAATTATAAAATATATTTTTTGTATATTTCATTTCTGCTTAAACATTAAAAAAATTTTCTTTCAAATGTTTGATAATAATTGAGGATTGATGTGTTATCTTTGAATGAGCACATAATTTAAAAGAAAAACTAAGATTTATACTTCAGAAATTACGTTATCAATAATTTTATTAAAAAGCATATTCTGCTTCAGGAAATACTACTTGGAGTGGTTAAGCAGAATGGTTTACGACTACTGTAGTCAGAATGTTTGCAACCCCCAAATTCATAGATTGAAAACTAATCTCGTATATGAAGACTTTATGAAGTCAGGCCTCTAGCAAGTGATAAGGTCATGAGGATGAGTACTCATGAATGGAATTACTGACCCTTTGCCTATTCCATCCACCATGCCTCGACACAATGAGAAGGTACCATCTATGAATTAAGAAATGGGCCCTCCCCAGACACCAGATCTGCCATCACCTTGGTTTTACATGTTCCAGCCTTTAGAATCTTGAAAAATTCTGTGTATTAATAAGCTACCTGGAATTTTGCAGCCTAAATGGACTAAGACAATGACCCAGTCCAGATATTGCAATCAGTCACATCTGTGTTTATATTAGTTCTGGTACTTCTTTCTAAAATCAGTTTTGCCATTTGTAAGTCATAGATAATAATGTCAACTTCACAGAGTTTTTTTTTTTGGAAAAAAATATTGGTTCTCAGAAGTCCTTCACACTCTTATAAAAGATTGAGGGCCTGTTCCAAAGGGATTTTGTTAAATTAAGTTGATCTCTTGACATGTATATTAGAAAGTAATACTAAGAAAATTTTAATACACAAAAGTACATAACCACATACATTGTTAGCAGTTAGATTGATGAATTAACAACATACCTTGGAGCATTAGAAAATATCACTATACTGCCAGGAGAGCATGAGAATAAAAAGGCAAATAATCTCTTAGTATTATTATAAAAATAGTTTTGAACTTGCGCACTATACTCAGGAGATTATTAGAAAATTGCATAGCATTCTTGCCCTTGATTTGAGGTGGAGACTGTTGCACTAAAAATACTTTGCTATACATGGTATTCGTGGAAAAGTAAAGATTCTTCAATGTCTAATATGCAATTATATATAGAATATTTCTTAATGCTACTTCCAATGTAGATAATATCAGAAAAAACAATATTAGCTTACAAAAAAGAAAATTTGGTACAACATTAAAAGTGTTCTTTTGTAAAGGCAGTTGTTAAACATCAATATGAACTGTAGATAAAAGTTGTTTAGTCACTTTTGGATAATGCCATTTATGTGACTCTTGTGATCCATCCAAGATTACAGTGGTGGTTAAGACTAAGAGTTTTAGACTTAAAAAAACCCCAAATTTGAATTAGAATCTTAACAATGCTAGCTTTGTAATCCATGTATTTCTCTAAGCCTTACTTTTCCCATTCATAAAATAAGGATAAAAGTACTCTCTACTAATTGTAAGTACCACATAAATAATAGTTATTATTACAACCTATGTTGCTTCTTTTTAATGGATGAATAAAAGAATGTGTTTGAGGTCTTAAGAAACAGATATTTAAAAATATTTTAAGTTGAAATTTCTCTTAAAGAAAGTTTAGTTAAAATTGTTTTCTGCCTTGTATTACTTATACAGAGATTCTTAATTAGATGGTTAACGTATTATGCAATTGATATAGTGATATATACAAACCCATCATAAGTCATGGTTAGGCCGGCAACTGATTTATTTTCACAGAGTATGAAAAAATATAATAGGTAAAAGAACAATGACATGACAGCAGTAAAAAATGAGAATTTAGCAATTCCAATTGGGTTCAATTTGAATTTTTTAATGATATATCCTCCTAAAAACATTCCACTTGCAAAAATAGGTAGGGTTACAATTCCTAGAAAAAAAAAGAAAAAAAGTTGTAATCATATATAGGTTTTCTGATATGTCTTTATAGATGAAACACAGTGTATGTCAATCAAATTTATTCAATATTATTACTTCTTTTTAAAATTTCACTTTAAGTTCTGGGATACATGTGCAGGACGTGCATGTTTGTTACATACACATACATGTGCCATTGAGGTTTGCCGTACCTATCAACCTGTCATCTAGGTTTTAACCCCTGGATGCATTAGGTATTTGTTCTAATGCTCTTCCTCCCCTTGCCCCCTACCCCCCAACAGGCCCGGTGTGTGATGTTTCCCTCCCTGTGTCCATGTGTTCTCATTGTTCAACTCCCACTTGTGAGTGAGAACATGCAGTGTTTGGTTTTCTGTTCCTGTGTTAGTTTGCTGAGAATGATGGTTTCCAGCTTCACCCATGCCCCGCAAAGGACATAAACTCTTTATTTTTTATGGCTGCATAGTATTCCATGGTGTATATGTGCCACATTTTCTTTATCCAGTCTATCATTGGTGGTCATTTGGGTTGGTTCCAAGTCTTTGCTATTGTAAATAGTGCTGCAATAAACATATGTGTGTATGTGTCTTTATAGTAGAATGCCAATCTTATTACTTTTTAAAAAGAAGAATGACAGAGCAGGATGGTGGCAGGAGATCCATGTAATTTGTTCCTGCCAATGATGACAGTTTGGTTCCCTCAATAGCAAAAGGCAGTGGCTAAGGATATTTGTTTGTTGGAGCAGATAATTTCTATGAGGCAATTTTGTTTTTCTGGAAATCAACAACAACAAAACACCATCTTTCTGCTTATGGAAATTCATCTAAAGCCTTTTACCTCTCTCACATAGAGTTCTAACCCTCAATAATTCACACTAAATCTGCCCAGAGCTTAACAATAGAATAATTAATATATCTTTGTCATTTATTAAAAAACATATAGAACCTGAATTGACAAATAGGTCTACACACAGGATTAATAATGTTTAATCCCTCCTGTAACTTTTCCATATCATTGTCTAGTAAGAGTTATTGAAGATGAAGTCTTCTCTAGGAAAAAGCTCAGGCTAGGTTACTGGGAGTCAAAACACTATCTTTAGATTTTAAGATCTACAAAGAGATCAGTAAAGAGATTATCTGGAAGCTTGGTCTCCTGCTTCAGTACATTCGTTTTCTTGTTTACTTATGACCTAGTTACATACCACATGATAAGTTGTTTAATTCATCATATATTTATTGAATTTCTATAATGTGTCTACAATACTAGAGTTGTGGGAAGAATAATACAAGGAAACTTTCCTTAATAAGCACATCTAAATATGCCATTGAAAATAGATATTGTAGCGAAAAATACTCTGTAAAATATGATATTTGTTTTGAATTATGCATATTTTGATGTATTTAAATTGATACTCTGGAACTATCAGTGTCACATTTTTGTAAGTAACTGAGTCTTGATTTCAAAGTCCATAAATTATAGAATTATAATGATTATAATTACAAAAGGGTTTGTCTCAGGATCTCAGCACTAAATTGTAAGTTCCAATTATACAGATATTACCTCTAAATTTTCCATTTATTTGCAACATTTTCTTCAGGAACTCATCTAAAATAAGATACAACTTCAAATGCAGAGCAATAATGACATCACAAGTTTCATATGTTTAATAGCATTTGAGAAAGAATACAAGAAAATTATAGTTATTTTGTATTACTAAAATACAAAGTCACTTTTACAATAAAATGTCACTTGGAATACAGTACTTAGTAGTATTTCACTTATTAAGCACACAAGTAAAAAATATGTCTTACCCAATAAGACGTTAGTCTTAGATGAAGGCTGACCATACTCTTGCTCTACATATTTGAAGACATAAGTAAAACTACCAATATAGCTGCTTATTTGTAACACCGTCAAAAGCACAAATACAACATACAGGGGATTAGTAAGGATGCTTTTAAAAGACCGGAAAAAACCTATAAAATTGTAAAAATAAAGAAAATATTTGAATGTAACTTAGACATATATTTATACCTAAAACTTGTGAACGTAAGTCATGTAAGATTTAAAATTCTATAAACACACAATGCAAAGAGTGAGAATAGCCTGCAATACCACAGGCTGTTCACAGTTTTTAAATGTATCCTTTCAAAATTTTCCATACGAATATTAATATTTATGAGTTTATTTTACCCTCAAATAGGGTCGTACATAACTGCTGCTTTGTAACTTGCTTTCTTCACTTAATATTTGGTTATCCTGGGTACTTTACAATACTACTGCAAACATATTAATTCACTTATTCATTCATTCAACAAATGTTAGGTTTTCAACTGGGTACCAGACAATATGCTAATTGTTCAAAAAACAAAAGTGAAGGCCAGGCACAGTGGCTCACTCCTGTAATCCTAGCACTTTGGGAGGCCAAGGCGGATATATCACCTGGGGCCAGGAGTTCGAGACCAGCCTGGCCAACATGGTGAAACCCCGTCTCTACTAAAAATACAAATTTTAGCCATCATGACGGTACACACCTGTAATCTCAGCTACTCGGTAGGCTGAGGCAGGAGAATCGCTTGAACTCGAGAGGCAAAGGTTGCAGTGAGCTGAGATGGTGACACTATACTCTAGCCTAGGCAACAGAGCAAGACTCCATCTCAAACAAACAAACAAAACCAAAAACAAACAAACAAAAAAGTGAAAAAGACATATGATGTTTCTTATTTTTTAGTACTTAATTATATATTATATTAAAAATATAACTATTAAATGGAAATGTAAAGACAGCATAATCCAAAACTCACAGAAATAAGAACATTGAGGTTCAAAATTCTTAAAGATTAATTTAGTATGAGGACTCAGACCTCTTGTTTCTCTAGTATACAGCTTTTCTACCATAACATACTTTCTCAGTAAATTTGGCAATATCATTAACCCTCTGTCTTAAGATACAAGGGAAACAGCCAGGAGATAATGTTGTGTCCCAAGTAGTGTTATAATAGTAATAATACAACCACCTATCCCTACAAACAGCTGTGGTAACAAGCTTCTAACTTCTGTTCATGGTAGAAATTATGTCATTTGGAGCTGTGATCACCAGGTCAACTAGCTGTAATAGGAGTTAAAAGTAGAAGGAACTACTTAGAAAAACAGTAGGAAGTATCAGAGTTTATCAAGACACAGCCAAGATATGGTTACTGAGAGATGGATGAACACGGGCTTTGAAATATTTTTCTCTATTTAAATCTCTAAAGATTTTCATTAGATATGGTCAGAACTAAGACATCCATCTAATGTCAGCTACAAAAGAGTTGCATCCGCTTAAAATAAGGAGAAAAGGGAGTTAGAGAAAAGACACAGAAGAGAAAAAAAGGAGAGGTAAGAAAATGTAGAGTAGGAATAAAAAACATTTAAAATTCTTAGGCAAAAGTGCCACATTTCTCTCCACAGGTCTCCCCAGTCATGAAGAACCGTCCCTGATTTGTAAGTATCATAAGTCAGTTGTGGCCTTTCTTCAACAGAAATGGAGTATATACATTCACACAATCATTGCATTTTTGAGGATGAGAAATTCGATGTCATCCAGTGTAAACTTCTGTATGATCGTGATCTACTATATATCATTAATAAGTGAATCAGTAAACAACTTAAGTGGCATTAAACTGAGTACCTCAGGAAGCAATTTGCTCCACTTTTGAAAAGTTCTCATTGTTTACACACTGTTTTTGTAATGAACTGAAATCATCTTTTCTTTCTAATCAGTTTTAGTTCTATTCAAGAGCATACGGAATAAATTCAATATTTTTTTTCTGACTATATGTTCTTATTTTATCCATTCCTAATAGATACATACTTAAGATCCTCTTTATTAGGGTCATTCCTACAAAAACTGTTCATAATAGAGATTATGTCTGCAGCTGTCCTCTTTTTACATCTTCAGTATCCTCTCTGTTCTTTTTGGATCACAGTCAACCCTGCTCCTTATAGGTTTAGACAATCTAATATTTTTTGAAGATTTGATTTGGTAGAGTAGAAACATATACAAAATGAAAATTATTGGTATAGTACTTTTAGTGTGAACGTTAAATTTGAAAAACATAAATGTTTAACATCTGATTCTTAGGAAACAAACTTCTGCTTGTAGTATATCCCAATTTCATGGTAATAAATCATGGTAATTCTCTTGCCACGAACAATTTCAACCTATCAATGTAGCTGAAACTTAACAGTCCTCTGCTATGAGCCAATATAAAGAGTACCAGAACACCATTGCTCTTGGGTTAGTGTGATAGAAAGGAGAAAATAACAATAAAATAATAAGTAAAAGACCTGATGAAAGGAAGAACGTAGGTTACACTGGAGAATTTGTCATCTTACTTTAAAGAAAACTTGAAAAAGATGCCAAGGGTTTAGGTGTTGCACTACTTTGGCTTTTACTATTTCACCATTTCTCCCTAATCTGAAAACTGCTGTCAACACCTCACTGATTCACATATCTTGCTCTGACTGCTGCCAAGTCATTCTCTTTGTTTATTGACTCAATGGTTCTCCATTAGTCCCAGGGCTTATATTCAAATGAAGAGGCACTATCAAATGCTGATGCATCCCAATTTACATTACTAACTCTAATTATCTTAACTACCACCCTAGGTTCCACTTTATTTTGAATATTTAGATAAGATAGATAGATAGATAATTACCAAAAGAAATATTACTCTAATTACCTAGGGAGAAACTTCTGACTTCCTTCTCCTGAGAATAGTTAAGTTTAATTTCACCATGTTACTTAAGGCACTATATTGCTATTGTCTATATATTTCTCAGTATCGCCCACTAGGTTCTTGAAAAGTAGAGGTAATGTTTTATTACCAGGGCATAGTACAGTTCCTGGTACCATTTGTTGAATAAATGAAGAAATGAAACATTGTAATTCTTTGAACTCTCCCAGTTTAGACCATATAATATTAAAATTAATATATAGTACTTGGCTCATAAAAAAATGGATGTTTGTGAACTTTGGTTGGTTTCTCCCTGCTAAAAAAGCCCAAACCTAATTCTCTTCCACTTGTTATGTGCTCAAGATATATATGTTAACTTTAATAGTAGTTTTAGAAAAATAATTTATCTAAATTTAGTGCAAAAGAAGGCCAACTCCAGATGAGTTGGGTATGCTTTATTATTTTGGAATACTCATTCTTCCTTTTCATTGAGATTAACAACTCCAAATTGACAATGAATGTAAAATACTTACCAGTCACATTTTTGGTAATATTTTTTCCTCGACTGGTCAAATTAGCTGTTTGACTCTTTCCATCATTTGTTTCCAACACAGGCAAAGATAATGAAGCTTTTCTTTCTTTTTGTCGTTTATTTGGAGTTTGGGGCAAGAAAAAGAATGGTATGGAAGAAATAATGGAGAATAGTCCAGACACAAGGAAATTAAGCCACCAAGCTCCAACCCAACGAGAATCATTAGGAGTTATCCTGACAGTGCCTAGAATAAATAATTAAAGAAGCCAGTCAAAAATCATTTTGAAATACAATAGGTTCAGGGAAGTAATGGTATGAAGAAAGTAAACTAAATTTCCTCAATTCCAAGACATGATTTTTTTAATTTTAATTTTTTGTCATCTCTGAGACTAGGATCAGTCTAACATTTGATGACATAATGCAACTGATACTGTCTAGGAATCAGTCATGATATTGTTGTCATTGCCTGAGCTTGTGTGCACTGATGGCTTTTCTGATTACATGACTGGACAATTTCTATCACTGGACATTTAAGCTTGCAGACCATTTAATAACTACCTGTGGAAGAACTATGACATCTCATTGTTGTCTGAAAATGTCTATTGGCATAAGCTAATAAAATCAAGAAAGGGTCAGCAATGAAATGTAAGCAGTTTGCAAGAAATCCACTGAGCCAATACAGGGGCTTCCCACCATGCCTGAAATAAGTATTTCCAACTCTCTTGATAGCACAGAGGATAAGAAAATATGAGTTTAAAAGTAACCCTGAAGAGTTAAGACTCTAAATGTTAAGGATAGTTTAACCATTTTATTTCAATCGTATTTTTCTTTAAATCATAAATGAGAGTACTCTGTAAATGTTATATCTCAAGGGTAAATGCATTCTTTTAACAAGTATAAAGTAAATAATCTAAGTAATAAGAAAGCCTATCTGAGTTATCAGCAAGATAGCATAATAGGAAGGACTGGACCCTTTTTTCTTTCATGAATATACTGATTCAACAATAATATGCAGATCAATTCCATTAGTGAAAAATCCAGAAACTAGTTGACAGGCCATTGTACCCCAGGAATGTGCAATATTAGCTACATTGACACTTTTAAGAAGATTGGAGACACCTTTTTGCTGTTCCTCTCCTCATTATAATACCATGCCTTCAAGAAGAACTAGAAATTTGAAAGTGTATGCGAACACTTGCAATAGCTCTTTTCCCTGGCTCAACAGAGATTGAATATAGGAAAACCGCATCTCCAGCTTATCCCTGCGGAGAGACAGAGTGGGACTGAACATCCAAAATTGTAACTTTTCAGGTACTACCCTTGCGACTGTCTTCTATATCACCTATCTTGAAGTGTTGACAGGACCCAGCACATACCAGACCTTTGGAGGCTACAGAAAACAAAGATGGCAGCTTGAACTAGTATGTAAGCATTTCCATAGCTCCTGGCCCATAGCTTAGGGCAGAGTGACCAAGTTAAAAAAACTTAAAAACAAAAACTTAACTCCAGCTTCTCTATGGGGAGGAAAATATTTCGACCACACACCTAACATTTCATCTTTTCTGTGTCCAACTCCAGCAGCTGGTCATTGTCTTGCCTATCTTGGGGCTAGGCATATGCTTGCTTCCAGTGGGCTACAAAGAATGCAAAAATGGTGGCTTAAATTAGCAAATGAGCACTTGCCACAGATCCTCCCTGCTCCCAGTTCTATGCAGAGTGAGGAGGTAAAAAACAAAAGGAAACAAACAAACAAACAAGCAAACGAACAAAAAATAAAGAAAACACTTCAGTTTTCAAATTCTCCTTGGGAAGGCAAAAAATTGTATAGCATGTGAAATAATCAAAATTTTCTGGGAGTTGACCAAGTGACAGGCTTCTCTGTCCACTGTCTAAAAGTGCTCATGAGACCCTACATACTCTAGATTCTGGAAGTTCCTAACAAAAAGATAGCAGTTTAAACAAGAATCAAAATTTGAGAGGCCGACAGAAGCTCTGCCTGGGTTGAACGATGAAAGTTTTCTCCTATATAATACCAGTTCGTGAAGACTTGGAGGCTGATGTGGTTTGGGTGGGTATTTGTTCTGTTCAAATCTCATGCCGAAATGTAATATCCAATGTTGGAGGTAGGGCATGGTGGGAGGTGTTTGGGTCATGGGGGTTGATCCTTCATTGCTTGGTGCTGTCCTTGCAATAGTGAATGAGTTCTCAGAAGATCTGATTGCTTAAAAAGTGTGTGGCACCTCGCCTCCCTCTTGCTCTTTCTCTCAACATGTGATGTGTCTGCTCCTGCTTTAACTTCTGCCAAGAGTAAAAGCTCCTTGAGGTCTCCTCAGAAGCTGAGAGAATGCCAGTGCCATGCTTGTACAGCTTGCAGAATCATGAGCCAATTAAACCTCTTTACTTGAGAAATTACCCAGTCTCACGTATTCTTGTATAAGAATGCCAGAATGGCCTAACACAGAAAATTGTTACCAAGAAGTGGGACATTGCTCTAAGGATACCTGAAAATGTGGAATTGACTTTGGAACTAGGTAATGAGCAGAGCTTACAAGAGTTTGGAGGACTCAGAAGAAGATAAGAAGATGAGGGAAAGTTTGAAACTTCTTGGAAACTGGATAAATGATTATGACCAAAATGCAGATCGTGACATGGACAATGAAGTTCATGCTGACAAGGTCTCAAATGGAAATGACAGTTATTGGGAGCTGGAGCAAAAGTCACTCTTGTTATGCCTTAGCGAAGTACTTGGCTGCATTGTGTTCATACCCTAGGGGATCTGTGGAAGTTTGAACTAAAGAGTGATGACTTAGAATATCTGATGGAAGAAATTTCTAAGCAGTAAAGCATTAAGGATATAAGTTGGTTGCTTCCAACCTGCAATGCTCAGATATGAGAGCAAAGACATGACCTAAAGTAGAAAGTTATATTTAAAGGGGAAGCAGAGCATAAAAGTTTGGAAAATTTGCAACCTATTTGTCAAAGAAAGAAAAAGAGTTTAAGTAAAAAACTGTCTCAAGTTGCAAAAAGACATTATAGAATGATTTTTAAGTGAATTCACCAGGAATATACAACCCAATATATTCACTCAATCTCAAAAACCCAAAAGCTATAAAGCAAACATGGACAGAACTGAAAAGAGAAATATAGAGAAATACATTACAATCATCTCTTGGTATCTGTGAGCAATGGTTCTAGGACTCCCTATGGATACCAAAATTCAAGGATGCTCAAGTCTCTTATATAAAATAGTGTATTACAGTGAGCCCTCCATAGTAGGCTGATGTCATAATATCTCACTTTCAATTATAAATAGAATAACCAGAGAGAATATCAATGAGGAAACAGAGGACTTCAACAACATTATAGACCAATTGAACATAACAGACACATAGAGAATACTTCACTCAATAAAAACAGAATGTATACTCTTTTGAAACAGAAATGGAACATTTTCTAAGATAGATCACATGTTACATCATGCAACAGGTCTTGATAAATTTAAAATTAAAATCATACCCATTTTTTTTCTAACTACAATGGAATAAAACTAGAAATTAATATCAAAGAGAAAAGTAGAAAATTGTAAAAATATGGATATTAACAAACTTTTCAATAATTAAATTGTCAAAGAAATCAAAAGGGAAATTAGAAAATATTTAGATACAAAGAGAATCAAAAACAAAACATTCTAAAATATGAGATGCAGCAAGAACAGTAGTAAGAGGGAAGTGTTTAGAAATAAATATCTACATTTGTAGGGTAAATTTTATTTCCATATTCAAAAAACAGAGGTTATTTCTCTAATTTATGGTCACTAGCAGCATCTGGCATTGTTTGCTCTTAATACACACTGATAAATATCAGATAATTATGCTAGTAAAAAGTAAAGAATTATCTCAGATAAACAACCTATTTTACACCTCACAAAATTATAAAAAGAAAAACAAACTAAGGCCAAAGTTAGCAGCAGAAGAAAAAAGATTAGAGAAGAAATAAATAAAGAATAGGGAAAAAAATTATATCAACACAACTAAGTGTTGATCTTTTTGAAAGATAAGCAAAATTGACAAACTTTAGACTAAGCAAAAGAGAAAAGACTCAAACAAAACAAGAGCTGAATGTGGAGACATTCAATTGATGCTAGAAAAATAAAACAATCATAAGAGACTGCTATGAGAAATTACACATCAAAAATTAGATAAGAAAGAAAAAATAAATTCCTGGAGACATAAAACACAGAAAATATAGAAAATATAAAGAGATTTACAACTAATAAAAATATTGAATTAATAATCAAATACCTCTCAACAAAAAAACTTAGGAGCAGATAGCTTTACTGGTGTGTGTTACTAAATAGCTAAAGAAAATATTAATGGCAATCCATTCTAATCTCTTGCCAAAAATTAAAGTGAAGAGAACGTCTTCAAACTAATTTTATGAGGCCAGCATTATTCTCATACCAAGGCCAGACAAAGACACCAGAAGAAAACTACAAACCAATATCTCTGATGAAGACAGAGGAAAAAATCCTAAAACAATACTAGTAAACCAAATTTAATAGCATATAAAAAGGACACTACACTACATTCAAGGGGGATTTATACCTGAAATGCTAAGTTTAACAAATATCACCAAGTGTAACATAACACATTAATAAAATAAAGGACAAAATCTACATGATCATATATGCAGACGTTAAATAGCATTTGATAAAATCCAACAATGTTTTGTGATAAAAACTTTCAATGAGCTAGGAATAGATAAAAAATTGCCTCAACAAAATGAAATGCATATTTTAAAAGCCCACAGCAAGCATTAAATTCAAGAGTGAAAAACTGAAAGCTTTCAGGAACGAAGGAAAATGGCCATTCTCATCACTTCTATTCAACATAGTCCTGCCATTTTATGCCAGAGCAACTAAGCAAGAAAAAGAAATAAAAGGTATTCAAACTTGAAAGAAAGAAGTAAAATTACCTCTACTTGCAGATGGCATGATTTTGTATACAGAAAACCCTAAAGATCACACACACACACACACACACACACACAGAGACACTTGTTAGAATTGAATAAACACATTCTGTAAAGTTGCAGGATACAAAATCACTATATTACTTATATTTCTATGCATTAACCAAGTACTATTTGAAAAGACATCAGGAAAGCAATTCCATTTACACTAAAATCATAAAGAATAAAACACAAAAATAAATTTAAGAAGGTGAAAGACTTGTGCATAAGATA